TCGTAGCAGTCGCGGATGTCTGTAGTAGAGGCCTCGTCGTATAACTTCGTATAATCGTATGCTATACGAAGTTATTCGTAAAAANAAAAAAAGCAGACCATTGCGAACAGCGGCAGGATCCGGGTGAGACAAGGGCGCAGTGCGGGGAGAAGAAATGCAGACAGAGAAGCGCAGGGACAAGGAGATAATAGGCGGGGGCGGGTATGGCGGACGTCGTGGTCTCTCCGCGGCGAGGGAAGGCGATAAGAGTCCATGAAGAAAAAAGCAGGCGGAGGGCGAGGTAGGGGGGCGGGAGGGGGGAACGGATCAATCGATGTACTCAAATTGACCCCATCCCGCCCCTGCCCCTGCCCCTCCCCTTGCCCCTGCTCCTGCTCCGCCTCGACCGGCGGCGCTGTTGTTGTTGCTGGGACGATCTTGGTATGGGTGCGGGTAGGAAGACGGCGTGTGAGGGTCCGGTTGACGTGTCCATCCCCATCCCCAACCCCGCTGCTCCTGCTGCTGCTGGTCGTGCTGGTGGTCATGGTGGTGCTGGTGGGACGAGGACCGGACGGGATCGTACCAAGCTCGACCGTCCCGTCCCGACCCTCCGGGCTCGTGGTACGGGACCGCTGGCGCGGCAGCGGCGGAGAGCCGGCGCGAAGACGGGTGCGGCAGACGCGTGTAGCTATCCTCGCTGCGTCGCGGTGGCGGTGCTGCGTGCGGCGCAGGGGGGGCAGAGACGCGTCGATCCGTTGCCGTCGTTGTCGTCCTCCTTCCCTGCTGCGACGGGTGCAGGTGCGGTGGCGGGCCGTACCCAACGATGGCACCGGCCTGACGAGGAGGAGGCCCGTAGTGCCCCGCATGCGCATGCGGGTACGGGTGGGCCGGACGCGCCGTGGCGGGGAGGGCGTAGGGCGACGGCATCGCGACTGGCACGGGAGCGTGTTGCGGCACGGGCCGGTGGTACGACGGTCCCGCTCCCGCTCCCGCTCCCAGTCCCAGGCTCAGCCCGCTGCCCGTCATGATGGGCGGGTAGCTCATCATCCGGCTCCGTACCAGCCCAGACTCGACGGCGACCTGGTCGCGCGTCACAATCGTCCCGACTTCGAACGCCGTGCCGCCCAGAGAGGTCGTCGTCGTGTTGCGACTCGCGCTGCTCCTCGTTGCACCACCACCAGGTATCGCCGCTCCGGCCCGAGAAGGGGAAGTCGCGCTGGCGGCAGCAGCAGCAGCAGCAGCGACGGCGGCAGCGCGAGCTTCTTGCTGGATGACTTTCTGGCCGGCGGCGAAAGGGTCTTCGCTCGTCAGACCGGCCGGGAGCGAGCCGAGCTGCGAAGGCGCAGGAATCGACGGCGCCGTCGCCTTGGCCGCGGCCGTGGGCGAAACCTCTCTCTGGGCCTTCGGCGACTTGCTCATCTCGACGGGGCTGGCAACCACCGGCGCATCCCTCGATGCGCGAGACTGCTGCTCCTCGGCGTCCTGCTTCGCCTTCCACTGTGCGGAGCTCATGCTGCCGATCACGACGGTGCCCTTGCGCTCGTATTTCGAGTCGGTCGACGCCGACGTCGAGGCGGCGGCGTTGGCGGTGGCGGTGGTGGGTGCCGGTCTCGATGATCGCCGATCGTCTCGCGACGGCTGCATGGCGACGGGCGAGACGACCATGTCGGCCGCCATCTTCGATCGAGGCGCCTCGGAGAAACGGATGCTGCCCGTCGCGGAAGGTCGATCGGTCGCTGGGCTAGGAGCTGCGGCGCCGGCAGCAGCAGCAGTAGCGCTGCCTGCAGGTGCTGCTGCAAAGGGTGGCTGCTGTAGCTGCTGACCCGCCTCTCCCTCCTGTCCGTACGGGTAGCGTGCAGGCGAGAGGGGCGAGGGGATGACAATCTTGATCGGCTTGCCCTTTGGCCCGCTCGCGGCAGGAAGCTGCTTCTTGGTCAAGGGCGGCAGTTCAATGGGCGGCAGGTCGTCGACGGCGACGTAGGGCGGAGCGGGTGCCGGATCGGGCGCGGCCGACGAAGCGGCGACGAGCGAGCCGGCGGCCGAAACGAAGCGCGTGCTGCCGCCACCGCCGTGCGACGACGAGCGCGGCGCCGAGACTGAGACTGAGGGGGCGTTGGTCGAGGTCGTCGGGCGGCGAGAGAGGGCGGCGGCCGACGAGGAGCCGCCGAAGCCGGACTCGCTCGGCACGATGCTGGCCTGCTGCGACGAGGGCGCCACCGAGGGCTGGGGCGGCGCGAGGTTGGCGCGCTTCTCGCTGCTCAGCTGCGAGAGCGACACCTTTGGCGGGCGGGGATGGACGCATCTGGACCACGACGGATCGGCGCGGCAGCGAGGTCATCGACCGCCCGCTCTGAGCTAGGAGATGCAGCGAGCGCGTCCTGTGCCAGCCTTCGCTCCGACGTCGTGAGCGAGTCGCGGTGGACCTGGATGAGGCGCGACAGTGGCGACTCGACATCAGGGCTGATGGGACCCGTGGGACTGCCGGCGTCGCTGTGTGCGGCCATCGAGTCGCCCTGCTGGGCAGCGTAGCGTCCTTGGAGATCGCGGTTGGACCCCCACGACCCCTCAGCTACCTGGCCAAGGCGATGCACGGTCGCGGATGTCGGCCCAGGCCCTGGTCCTGGACCTCCGCCGTACGCCTCGGCGGCAGCGCGCAGCGGCTCCAGCTCATCGTCGTCGTCGTCGTCTTCGTCATCGCGGTTGCCAGACGGACCGCGGCTATGCGAGCCCGAGAGGCGGTTGCGGAACGAGCGCCACCAGCTCGCCTCTGGAGCCGGTTGTGCGCCGGCGGCAGAGCGGCCGTCGTCGGCGCTCAGATAGAGGCTCTTTTCGCGGTCGGCATGCTGCGCCCGCGACGTTTCGCCCTGCTCAACGGGCTGGGCATAGGCGTTCCATCCAAACCAGCCGGCGATGCCGAAGGCGCCCACGCCAGCGCCCCCACCGGCTCCTCCGCCGCGGCCGGGTTCGAAGGGCTCGTCGGCCTCTTCGACGGCGCTGAGGTCCATCTTGCGCCGCGTGCCGCGACCGCTGTCGGTGGCGGCGGCGGAGGCGGCGTGATCGATCTCGATCGAGGGCGCGCTGCGGTGGTGCATCGTGAGCTCCGGGTAGAGATCCTCGTGGCTGTCCGAGTCGGTGGCGTACATGCGCGCCACGTAGTCGAGCGACCGCCCTGCCGACTCGCTGCGTGGGACCGGTGACGATGGCGACAGCAAGCCGTCGGCCTCGTCCTCCTCGTCGACGGCGGCGGCGAGCTTCTCGAGGTCGGTCATGTCACGCGTGCCTCCGCCTCCGCCCCTGCCCCCGCCAGCCCTGCGACCTCGCGGCGCGGCATCACCCTTTCCGCTGGTGCCACTGCTGCTGCTGACGACGCCGCCGCCGCCCCCTTCATGCGACTCGTCGAGCGGGTCCTTCCAGTACGACTTGAGCGCGCTGCGCTCGAGGTGCATCTCGCGCTCGAGCTCGGCCTTGCGGTCCCTGCCGAGGGCGCGCTCGAGGTGGGCGTAGCGGTCGGCGCGGATGTCCTCTGCGAGGGTGAAGTTGCGGCCCTTGCGGCGGGCGCGCATGTAGTTGGTCGAGTCCTTCATTTCCCAGAACCAGTCGCGGAAGTCGAGCACGTTGAGGAGGGCGCGGCCGCGGAGCGTGGTCCTGGCGCGGTCGGCGGGGCGGTAGGGGAGGTAGCTGAACGCCTTGATGTGGATGAAGCCAAAGAGCATCATCCAGAAGCACTGGAGGAGCGCGTTGATGCCGACCTGGATGGCCTCTGCGGAAAAGTACTGGGTGTTTTTGATGACGTCGAACGAGACGAGGAACGAGAGGAAGGTGTCCTGCCAAAAGGTGATGAAGACGATCGTCTTGATGGCGAGGAACTTGAGGATGGGCTTGTAGGGGTCGACGAGGTGGCGGATGGGGTAGTAGAAGGCGATGAGGCAGTACATGGCGACGGTGACCGAGATTGAGATGAGGGTGACGCACCACACGTGGCCGAACCAGGGCATCCAGCTGGCGAGGCAGTAGAGGTCAAAGTACTCGAGGCCGACGGCGGCGAGGGTGCAGACGGGGCGGACGATGGCGTACTGGAGCACCGAGATCTTCATGATCCAGAGAAAGTGCATGCCGTCGGGGCGGTACTTCCAGCTGCCCAGGGGCCACACCCACTTGCCCACCTCGAGGGAGCGGAAGACGGCGTGGACCTCGGAGCGGGTGTCGCCCGTGTAGGAGACGAGGAGGTAGAAGAAGCTAGTGACGAGCACGGCCTCGTAGCAGTCGCGGATGGTCTGGTAGTAGAGGGCCTCGTGGTAAAAGAGGTAGCTCATGAACGAGACGATGGCGTAGATGGGGACCATGATGAGGAGGCGGACAATGTGGCGCTGCTGGCTGGGTTGGGTGTAGTAGGTGAGGTGCTTCCAGATGAGCCAGATGCTGGATACGGTGGCGACGAGGGCCATGACGCCGCAGACGATCCAGCCGACGTCGTGGGCCTTGAAGTTGAGCTGGCCGTCGCGGTAGAAGGGCTTGGGATCCTCGGGCGCCTCCCAGGCCACGGGGCATGTCATGTTGACCATGGCGGGCCGAGTCGCGGACCGACCGGATGCCGCTAGGTGGGCAGTGGCTGGCGTGCGATACCGAAGGCGAGGCGCTCGTGTCGGAAAGGGACGCGCGGTACGGTAGGGAGCAACGGAGCAACGGAGCAACGGAGCTAGAGGAGCATGGCAGGCAGTGGCGGGTCGAGGCGGGCGGGCAGGCAGGCGTAGGTGTGGTCGCAAAGGGGTCGCCGTGAAGACGCGTCAAGCGGGCGAGGGGATGGACAGCAGCGACGGTCGTGAGTGGGCAGCAAGAGGTCGTGATTGGTTCGTCAAGCAGTCGTTTGTCGTCGGGTATGGGGGCCGGGGCCGGGGCCGGGACCGGTGCGGAGTTGGTCGAGATGTCTACGCGGTCGTCGTTGGCGGGCGTGGCGGCCGGGTCGTGAGGGGGGCGAAAGGGCGGCGGCGATCGTCAAAGTCGTCGCAGGATCGTGAACGAGGGGCGTATCAGGATGGAGGCAGAGGGAGAGGGGGAGGGTATCTTGCCGGCCGTGCGTAGCGCAGGGGACTTGGAGGAGATGGGAGGATGGAGGTGGGGACGGGACGATGACGGGCGCTACCCTGCTCTGCTTGCTGCTGCCAGGGCGGCTTTGATGATGTTTGCACAGACGCCTGCCCGCCCGCCCGCTCGGTCGGTCAGTCGGTGAGGGGGGGGCCAAAGATAGACTACGCTGTGCCACGCCTTTGCCTCGGGCTGCAACGGGGCGTCGTCGATCCATGAAAGCGCAGTAGTGGCAGCCCAGCGGCCTGGCCTGGCCGTCGAGCGGATGGCCCGCAGTCTCATGCCCTTTGCTTGGTTGATGGCGGCGGGTCAGCGCCGCTGTTCGGGATCGAGGTCGGCGGGCGGATGGGTTTAGGGGCTAAACTGTTTGGGGGCCGTGGGCCGAAGGTGCAGCCAGCAGCGCGGCCTGGCCAGCAGCTCAACCCGACTCGACTCGACCCTGAGCTGCACCTCTCCCCTGTCCCTGCGGCCTGCCCGCCTGCCCCTTTGGGACTCGCGCCTCGACCCGCGACCCGCGACCCGCCAACTTCTGTTGGCTGCTGGCGAGTATTTTCTCCGCTCCACACGCGCCGCGTCTTTGGACCCGATAGGCAGGCATGGCAGCCCTCGGCCCTGCATCGCCAACCCGATCAGATGCTCAGCCAAAGGGGCCCCCTCCCCTCGACTCTTCCACGCACAATGGACCGCGGGCAACGCACCGCGGGCAACGCAGAAGCCTTCTATACCATTGCAAAACAGGCGCCTCGAACGCGCAGGGGCGTCTGCATCTCTGCGACCAACGACACCGCCCTTACTCCCTGTGCTCCTTGACCAGGAACGTCGGCTTGCCCGTCTCGAGCACCGCCTTGATGCTGCCAAACACCTGCACCTCCATCTTCTTTTGCGTCTCGCACGTCTCGGTGCCCATGTGCGGAAGCAGGATGCACTGCTCCATCGCAACCAGCCGAGAATCAATCTTGGGCTCCGCGGGGTACACGTCCAGTCCCGCAGACGACAGCTGGCGGGCGGGTGGCAGAGGGGGGGGGGGTGCAAGAGAGGGAAGAAGAGAGAGGGAGAGAGAGAGGGAGAGGTAGGGAGAGAGAGAGGAGGGAGAGAGAGAGGAGGAGAGAGAGAGGAGGAGA